TAAAACTCCTAAGGGGGAGCCCATTGCTACTCCGTCTATTTGTAAATACATGTCTCCTTGTGGACTGATGAAAGGGGCTTCCTTTGTACATGCTTCGAGAAGACTTTTCAAGTGTGGCTCAGGTATGTCTAATTTGGGGGTGCTCTCGTCTCTGTATACTCCGTCCAGTATCATTCCTATGGTTGTGTCGACTGGGACGTAGGTAAATAGGGATTCAACGTCCAGGGAAGCGATGATACCTTCGGGCTGGGTAGATTTGATCAATTCTAGGAAATCTGCTGATGATTGTAGACTAAACTTACTTGGAGTGTATGGAGTTAGGAGTTCATTGAGTTTCTTTGCCAGGTGATAAGTTGGGGTTGGTATTTGGCTGATTATAGGGCGTAGTGGGTTACCTGGTTTATGCGTCTTAACATTGCCGTAGGCATATCCTAAGCCATAGTCGCCTTGAAGTTTATTGAAATGCACACTACCTTTCTTTGCGTTGATTGCTGTAATTGTTTTTTTTACTTTCCGCTTAAAGTCTTCTACGGGGTTCCTCGTGATTCGTTGAAATTTGGAGTCGTCACTAAGGATGTAACTAATTTTGTTCATGTAATCATGGGTAGGAATCAATACATATGCTGCTGTTTTGTCGATTTTTCTTATTGTTACGTCTTTCAGATTTTTTTAGTTGTTTCGCTGCTTCTTTGAGTCGTGGGGTTAAGATTGTAGTCATCACCACTGACACACTTCAAGCTGAACTACTTGCAGAAGCAGGGAAAAAACGAGGAACATATTCATCTACAATCTTAACCCTACGACTCAAAGAAGCAGCGAAACAAACAAATCGGGCCTTGCATAGTAGGCAGAGAAGTGCGTTCTGGCTACTAGGTACGACATATATATATATATATATATAGTAGACATCCTTCTACCTGCCCACTTACATCAGCTGGCAGGTGTACATGATCCCAATTTTACATGCTGTGCCACGGAGTGGGCCTCTCGTGCAGGCCAATCACCTCAACCACCATCCCCAAAAGCCCACAAGCAATCCAGCTGGGATGGTCCCATTGTAGACCAAGTTGCTGCAGAGTGCCTGGGGGCTGCAACAACACAACACGACATTGCTCGCCTCACAGCAGTAGCAGCACCACATGCAGGGGATTTCCTGTTAGCAACCCCAATGTCGGCAACTGGCACGCGTCTCACACCACACGCCCTCCGAATTGCTGTGGCCCTCCGCCTTGCTGCCCCAATCCACACCAGATATAGGTGTATTTTGCGGCGAGGTGGTGGCTGACAGGTATGGCCACCATGGCTTACTCTGCCAAAGCACAGGGGGATGGCACTCGAGGCACAGTGAAGTTAACAATATCATCAAGAGGAGCCTCACCACAGCTGGATGCCCAGCTGAAAGAGAGCCCCGTTACCTAACGCCCCGTAACTCTGATGCTCTTATTGGTCGCCCGGATGGTATCACAGTGAACCCCTGGAAGAATGGCAAGCAGTTGGTATGGGACTACACGTGCGTATCAACCCTGGCTAACACCTACATTAACCTCAGTGTTGCACAACCAGGTGGCGCTGCCACCCACAGGGAAGCAGCCAAATCCCGTAAGTATAGAGAACTGGATCACCACTACAATTTTGTCCCCATTGCTTCTGAGACACTCGGCGCCTGGGGTAAAAGTGCTACCAGTTTTTTGAAGGAACTGGGTTCTAGGCTCATTGAAACAACAAGGGACCCAAAGCTGCAAGCTTTCTTTTCCAGCTCCTCAGTGTGGCGATACAGAGGGAAAATGCGCACTGCATCCAGGGTTCCTGCCCGCCATCTGAGGAGCTGGAGGAACTCGACAACCTATGATAACCATCTTTGTAACCCATATGTAACTCCTTTTTTTTAACAAAGTTCAAATAAAGTAAATATATATGTGTACATACAAAAGAATGGGGGTGGTAGGAGAAGATAATATTAGTGTTCAGTGAGAAACCACAAGGTCTCCTCTGAATACTTTTTATTTTCTTCTCCGAGGCTATGGGTCCCCACATTGGCACCAGAGGTGGTACCCTCACAAACTTTCACTTATATATATATATATATATATATATATATATATATATATATATATATATATATATATATATATATATACTTATATATTTATATACATATATATATATATATATATATATATATATATATATATATATATATATATATATATATATATATATATATATATATATATATATATATATATATATATATATACATATACATATGTCAAACCCATATTTGAAACAATCAAGGCACCCCACCTTCAGCACGTTACACGGTAATTGGTTCCACAAATCAACAACCCTGTGACCGAAAGAGTATTTACACATGTCTTTCCTTAATGTAAACATATCCAATTTATACCAATTGTTTTGTATGGATACGAGGAGTCACAATAACGTGGCTGAAATATGTTTACCAAACCACACACTAGAAAGTGAAGGGACGACGACGTTTAGGTCCGTCCTGGACCATACTCAAGTCGATTTATTGATAAAAAATTTATTTGAGAATGGTCCCAGGACGGACCGAAACGTCGTCGCCCCTTCACTTTCTAGTGTGTGGTTTGGTCAACCAATTGTTTCGTGTTCTGTCTTGTGTCGATACTTTAAATACCCTATTAATATACCCCTTTGTTATGTCCAGTCATCCACTTGTAAACCTCTATCATGTCACCCTTAATTCTTTGCCTTTCTAGAGAATGTAATTTAAGCTTTGTCAATCTTTCTTCATATGACAGGTTTCTAATTTGGAGGATTAACTTTGTCATCCTACGCTGGATACGTTCTTGTGAATTTATATCAATTCTATAGTACACCGACCAAAACTGAACTCCATAATCTAAATGGGGCCTAACCAGAGCAAAATATAGCTGAAGAACCACACCATGTGTCTTGTTACTAATGTTTCAAGTAATAGATCCCAGTGTCCTATTTGCCTTATTACGAACATTTATGCATTGAATTTTTGGTTTTAAATTCCTACTAATCATAACTCCCAGATCTCTTTCTTAATCTGATTTCGCAATCTCAACACCATCTAGCTCGTATCTTATAATTCTTTCATCATTACCTAGCCTCTAAACCTAACATTTGTCAGCATTAAACTGCATCTGTAAACTTGTCATTAACGTATATTAGAAATAGAACTGGTCCCAGCACCGATCCTTGAGGTACTCTACTCGTTACTGTTCGCCAGTCCGACTTTTCGCCTCTTACCATTACTCTCTGGCTCCTTCCTGTTAGGTAGTTCCTTACCCATGCCTTTCCGTAAACTCCCGCCCTGCCTCACAAGTTGGAATAGCAGTGTCATGTGCGGTATTGTATCAAAAGCTTTCTGGCAGTCCAGAAATATGCAGTCTACCCATCTATACCTGTCCTGCCTTATTCTTGTTATTTTATCAGAGAATTCCAGAAGGTTTGTTTGGCATGATTTCCCTTTCCTCAACCCATGAACCCTATTTAGATCGTCTTGAAGTGATAGATGAGTTTTTTCAGTGTTTATTTCCTTCCCGCTTTTTCTATCATCAGCAAATTTGCGAATATTGCTGCTCAAACCTGAATCTAAATCATTGATATATATTATGAATAGCACAGGTCCCAGGACAGAACCTTGTGGTACTCCACTTACAACATTTGCCCAGGCTGACTTAACCTCATTTATATTAACTCTTTGTTTCCTTTGGTATAGCTATTCCCTAATCCAACTTGAACGTATACATTGTATATTCACTGCACCCCCAAAAATATGTTTAAAATATATGTATGTTGTTGGTTTGATTTGGAGATTTCAACAGACATTGTGTCATGATCTTTGCATTCGGGAATTGGAAATATTTATACTAAGGAGTGAGATACTTGTCAGTCTAGACTCTGTGTTATCTCCTTGATTTATATAAATAAGAGGTAGGAGGCTGTTTCATTCATTCCTTTACTCAATTATTCATCTTTGGCAATATGCTATAAACATTAAGTCCAAAAATGTAGTCATTGGCTGGGGAGGGGGGATATTATTAATCTTTCTCACAATTTAATTAATTGGTCTCTATTAAAAAGAATTGGAACACATAATTAGGTGAAGAGTACAGTGAACTAGCAAATGAATGGGCATAACAAGGGGATATAATAATAAGGCCTTCAGCATACTGATGGGGTGATGTAATTGAAGGGTAAGGGTATGAAAGAGGGCATTAATTGGGGTGTTTATTAGACATTAGGTAAGACAATGGTAAATACCAGTGTGAACATTGGGCTATTTTCCTTGTTTCTTATGTATAGGACTCATGCAGTTTTATTTCATAGTGGTATTAATGATTGGTCCAACATGGGCAGATATAAATAAGAGATACTGTATGGCCTCCCAAAAAGACTTTCTGCAATTTCATTCTCATGAATAATATACAATGTTTTAACTAGAAATAATCTTTGAAAATGGGAATAAATATAAAAATGGGATTAAATAATTGAAAATAGTGTTAAATATGTAATTATGGAAAACGGACTTATTGAGAGAAGATGAAGACTGGCAGTCTGATGACGTCATTGAACATCAGTGATCGCTGAACCCGTGCATCGACATGGTAACTAAATTTAGGGATGACTGAAAGGTGCTATTTAATCTCATCGGGAAAATTACTAGGTGACGAACGGGAGCCAATTAAATCCCATGGAAAATTTTACTACGCTAATGGGGAATAATAGAGATTCACAGAAATTTACAGTATGCCAGAAGGGAATCATCAAGAAAACTAAAATGAGTCCTTTCTGGCGTACTTTACACTACTGGCATGACCCCACGCTGCTACTGTGGGCAGGGACAAAAGGCCCACAGACCACTGGATGGTACAGGAGCAATACACCTGGCAAACAAAACTTGGTTAAGTTTGTGTTAAATAGTATTCTTATAGTCCAAATTTTTCTAGGGGTTGAATAATTAATAGGAATATTTTGTGACTTGCCAGGTCGTCGTCAGCACCAATGTCGTCGACATGTGAGTGGTCGTAGTGGTCGTGGTGGTCGGGGTCGTGGTGGTCGAGGTCGTGGGGCTGGTGCGGCGAGGCCGAGCTGGTGAAGCAGTGCTCGGCCTCCTCCAGGCTGGGGTCGAGGGAACCGCTCGCTATGAAGCCTTCGTCGTTGTCCTCAGTGCTCTCAGAGTCGCAGCACCTCCAGCTGTGGAAGAACGACACCCGCTCGAAGTACGCCTGCAGGGAGGCGGGTGTTGGGGTTACAGGGTGTTACAGGGTGCTTAGTACAGGGTGTCTAGTACAGGGTGTTTAGTACAGGGTGTCTAGTACAGGGTGTTTAGTACAGGGTGTCTAGTACAGGGTGTTTAGTACAGGGTGATTAGTACAGGGTGTTTAGTACAGGGTGACTAGTACAGGGTGTTTAGTACAGGGTATCTAGTACAGGGTGTTTTGTACAGGGTGTTACAGGGTGACTAGTACAGGGTGTTACAGAGTGTTTAGTACAGGGTGTTACAGAGTGACTATTACAGGGTGTTACAGGGTGACTAGTACAGGGTGTCTAGTACAGAGCGTTTAGTACAGGGTGTCTAGTACAGGGTGACTAGTACAGGGTGTTACAGGGTGTTTAGTACAGGGTGACTAGTACAGGGTGGCTAGTACAGGGTGTTTAGTACTGGGTGTTACAGGGTGTTTAGTACAGGGTGTTACAGAGTGACTATTACAGGGTGTTACAGGGTGACTAGTACAGGGTGTCTAATACAGAGCGTTTAGTACAGGGTGTTACAGAGTGACTATTACTGGGAGTTACAGGGTGACTAGTACAGGGTGTTACAGGGTGTTTAGTACAGGGTGACTAGTACAGGGTGGCTAGTACAGGGTGTTTAGTACAGGGTGTTACAGGGTGTTTAGTACAGGGTGTTACAGAGTGACTATTACAGGGTATTACAGGGTGTTTAGTACAGGGTGTTACAGGGTGATTAGTACAGGGTGTTTAGTACAGGGTGACTAGTACAGGGTGTTTAGTACAGGGTATCTAGTACAGGGTGTTTTGTACAGGGTGTTACAGGGTGACTAGTACAGGGTGTTACAGAGTGTTTAGTACAGGGTGTTACAGAGTGACTATTACAGGGTGTTACAGGGTGACTAGTACAGGGTGTCTAGTACAGAGCGTTTAGTACAGGGTGTTACAGGGTGTCTAGTACAGGGTGTTACAGGGTGACTAGTACAGGGTGTTACAGGGTGTTTAGTACAGGGTGACTAGTACAGGGTGGCTAGTACAGGGTGTTTAGTACAGGGTGTTACAGGGTGTTTAGTACAGGGTGTTACAGAGTGACTATTACAGGGTGTTACAGGGTGACTAGTACAGGGTGTCTAGTACAGAGCGTTTAGTACAGGGTGTTACAGGGTGTCTAGTACAGGGTGTTACAGGGTGACTAGTACAGGGTGTTACAGGGTGTTTAGTACAGGGTGACTAGTACAGGGTGGCTAGTACAGGGTGTTTAGTACAGGGTGTTACAGGGTGTTTAGTACAGGGTGTTACAGAGTGACTATTACAGGGTGTTACAGGGTGACTAGTACAGGGTGTCTAATACAGAGCGTTTAGTACAGGGTGTTACAGAGTGACTATTACTGGGAGTTACAGGGTGACTAGTACAGCGTGTCTAGTACAGAACGTTTAGTACAGGGTGTTGCAGGGTCTCTAGTACAGGTTGTTACAGGGTGACTAGTACAGGGTGTTATAAGGGTGGCTAGTACAAGGTGTTACAAGGGTGGCGAGTACAGGGTGTTATAAGGGTGGCTAGTACAGGGTGTTACAACGGTGGCTGGTACAGGGTGTTACAGGGTGTCTAGTACAGGGTGTTACAGGGTGTCTAGTACAGGGTGTTACAGGGTGATTAGTACAGGGTGCTATAAGGGTGGCTAGTACAGGGTGTTACAAGGGTGGCTAGTACAGGGGTTACAGGGTGGCTAGTACAAGGTGTTACATGGATGACTAGTACAGGGTGTTACAGGGGGACTAATACAGGGTGTTACAGGGTGGCTAGTACAGGGTGTTGCAGGGTGGCTAGTACAGGGTGTTACAGGGTGGCTAGTACAGGGTGTTACAGGGTGGCTAGTACAGGGTGTTACAGGGTGGCTAGTACAGGGTGCTACAGGGTGATTTGTACAGGGGTTACAGGGTGGCTAGTACAAGGTGTTACATGGGTGACTAGTACAGGGTGTTACAGGGGGGACTAATACAGGGTGTTACAGGGTGGCTAGTACAGGGTGTTACAGGGTGTTACAGGGTGGCTAGTACAGGGTGTTACAGGGTGTTACAGGGTGGCTAGCACAGGGTGTTACAGGGTGTTACAGGAGTGGGTAGTACATGGTGTTACAGGGTGGCTTGTACATGGTGTTACAGGGTGTTACTGGTTCACTAGTACAGGATGTTACAGGGTGACTAGTACATGGTGTTACAGGGTGACTAGTACAGGGTGTTACAGGGTGACTAATACAGGGTGTTACAGGGTGACTAGTACAGGGTGTTACAGGGTGACTAGTACATGGTGTTACAGGGTGGCTTGTACATGGTGTTACAGGGTGTTACTGGTTCACTAGTACAGGATGTTACAGGGTGACTAGTACATGGTGTTACAGGGTGACTAGTACAGGGTGTTACAGGGTGACTAGTACAGGATGTTACAGGGTGACTAGTACAGGGTGTTACAGGGTGACTAATACAGGGTGTTACAGGGTAACTAGTACATGGTGTTACAGGGTGACTAGTACAGGATGTTACAGGGTGGCTAGTACAGGGTGTTACAGGGTGGCAAGTACAGGGTGTTACTGGGTGACTAGTACAGGGTGTTACAGGGTGGCTAGTACAGGGTGTTACCGGGTGGCAAGTACATGGTGTTACAGTGTGACTAGTACAGGGTGTTACAGGGTGGCTAGTACATGGTGTTACAGGGTGACTAGTACATGGTGTTACAGGGTGACTAGTACAGGGTGTTACAGGGTGGCTAGTACAAGGTGCTACAGGGTGGCTAGTACAGGGTGGTTAATACAGGGTGTTACAAGGTGACTAGTACAGGGTGTTACAGGGTGACTAGTAGATGGTGTTGCAGGGTGACTAGTACAGGGTGTTACAGGATGTTACAGGGTGACTAGTACATAGTGTTACAGGGGTGACTAGTACAGGGTGTTACAGGGTGGCTAGTACAGGGTGGCTAGTACAGGGTGTTACAGGGTAGCTAGTACAGGGTGTTACAGGGTGACTAGTACAGGGTGTTACAGTGTGACTAGTACAGGATGTTACAGGGTGGCTAGTAGAGGGTGTTACAGGGTGGCTAGTACAGGGTGTTACAGGGATGATTAGTACAGGGTGGCTAGTACAGGGTGACTAGTACAAGGTGTTACAGGGTGGCTAGTACAGGGGTGTTACAGGGTGGCTAGTACAGGGTGTTAAAGAGTGACTAGTACAGGGTGTTACAGGGTGGCTAGTACAGGGCCTGTGTGTGTTGTCAGAGATGACGTCCTGTGAAGGGGATTTGTAAGCTTCTTGTTTCTGATGTATATATATGTATATATATATATATATATATATATATATATATATATATATATATATATATATATATATATATATATATATATTTATATATATATATACATATTAATATCATAAGATAGTAGATATTAACATTGTATTAATGGGACAAATGTGTATCAATGATTCTACTCAAATCAGCCTCTAACTGATCAATTAAAAATGTATCTAAATTATATAAACCACTGCTAATGTTCAAATTACAAGATTTTGTAATATGTATTAAATCAGATTCAATTACGTTTCTATTGAAAGTGATTTACTCTTCGTTATTGAAGAAGCTAACTCACAATTAATTTGGTGAGAATTTTCTGACAAATGAACAAGCAAAGCATTAGACAATTATTCGTGTCTTTGTTGGCCAATTGTTGGCTTTATGTTGCAAAATTCTAAATTTTAAATCTTCAGATATTTGTCCTACATAGTACCTATTATAATATTTAGATGGTATTTTATAAATGAAACAATTATCACTATAAGGACTGTTTCTAACTAATAGTTTTCCAACAGTATTTTAGTAATTAAACAATAAATGTGTATCAAAAAGTTTCAAGGTCTTGACAATATTTTCAAATCCAGAAAAATATGGTAAACATAACACATTCTTTGGGCGAATTTTTCTCATTGCATATATTATTATAATATGTACGACAATGTTGGAATTGTGAGTTGACCTGTGGTGGACAGCCAGGAGCTGTCTCACTCGTCTCTGGGTTTTGTAGGGGTCACACATTCAGAAAATATGAAGAGGATTAAGACTGAGGAAGATTGTATGAGGCTACAAGATGACCTAGACAAACTAAATGAATGGTCCAACAAATGGCTACTAAAGTTCAACCCAAGTAAATTTAAGGTAATGAAACTAGGTGGTGGAAACAGGAGGCCAGACACTGGATACCGAATAGGAGATGAAGTATTTCATGAAACGGACATACAGAACAATCTAGGAGTATATATCACGCCAAACCTGTCTCCTGAAGCCAACATCAAAAGAACAACATCAGCGGCGTATGCAAGGCTGGCTAACATCAGGACTGCCTTCAGAAACCTATGTAAGGAATCCTTGAGAACCTTGTATACCACATATGTAAGACCCATGAGATATGAGGAAAGGCTGCGTAAAAATGCACCTCACGTTGTTGGAAGACAGGAGAGCTCGGGAAAACATGATCACTACCTACAAAGTTCTCAAAGGAATTGACAGGGTAGATAAAGATAATCTGTTTAACACGGGTGGTACACAAAGATAACTTTGTTTTGTTTGCGTACCACATATATAAACTGAGTGAAACCACCAGTTTCAGGTGGAAACTGAGTACCCAAATGAACCACAGGGGCGGTAGAAATAACTTTTTCAGTGTCAGAGTAGTTAACGGATGGAATGACTTATGCAGTGATGTGGTGAAGGCTGACTACATGCACAGTTTCAAATGTAGGTATGATAAAACCCAGTAGGCTTTGGAATCTGAGCACCAATTGATTGATAGTTGGGAGGCGGGATAAAGGAGACAAAGCTCAACCTCCGCAAGTACAACTAGGTGAGATGAGTACATATTGTGTGTGTTCTCTGAGTAATTTTATATAAGGGATATTTGTACATATCTATTGTCTTCTTACCAGTTAGTGAGAAGGGGATTATTGTGTG